TGTGGCAGTCAACCCTAATATTGGTCGTTAAATGTCTGACGTGACAATTAAAACATTAATTTAATTCTTTCAATTTTTTCATATTATTAAAATAATAAACAAAAATAAATAAAACCAAAAAAATCCATTCCCTATCCGACCAGAAAAATCTCCACCAATCCGAGACCAAACCCTCTTCTTTTGCAAATCCAATCTCCCCTTCCTTCCGCATCCAAAACCTCATCTCCTTTATTTCCACCTGCTCAAATCTCTCTCTCCCTCCCGCTCCTCCTCCGGTGACTCCGCCGCCACGCATCGGCACCCCCACCCTCACCCTAACCATCACCAACCCCACATTTCCCCGGCGGCTCCACCGCTTCATTCGACTACAATAAGCACTCCAAGAAGCAACGCAACAGCTACAATTGCGATAGATGCAGCCTTCCGAAGAAGACCACGTCTGCCACCTACCTCTGCAGCTTTGCCGCCGCCGACTCGCTCGTCGCGGTGGCCTAACCTGCTGCTGCCACCTCCTCATCTGCCGTTACCGTTGCCGCTAGGGGTGGACAATGAGCGGATTGGGTGGGTTTTAGTCTCAAATTGATCCACCCGCTTACTAGCGAGTTGGAATAATTGTGACCCGCAATCCACCCACATACTTCTCCGGGTTGGGTTGGGTAGGTGGCGGATGGGTGAGGTTGGGTCACGGGTCTATTCGCAAAACAATTCTCCAACTAGCCAATAAGAAAGGTGATTAACATTTATAATAAGTTTATAACAAATTAGTAAGACTGTATCGATAATTTGTGATTTTGATACAATTAATAATTTAGGGTATGCCTACTATGACATGCATGTCACCGTGACATGGACTTTTCGGTCGACCTAATCCTGAAGGCGGTCGACCGAATTGACTAATTTGGGCAGCACGAGAAAGCATTGCGGTCGACCTCAAAGACCACCTGGTCGACCGTTATTAGTTTAAGTTGTTATTTTTGGTTGACAAGAATAAACCTCGGTCTGCCATTTCGTTGGCGTCAGAAACAACATGGTAGACCGTAAAGGTATATAGGTCGACCACTTGATGGCAGTCATTAACAACATGGTCGACCAGATAAAGAAAGAGGTCGACCAGATAGACGATAAGTGTTCTATCAATTTATCCAATCATTTGACGTAAAATGAAGATCAAGTGTTGGTGTCGAGGTCGACCTAATACGGTACCGAATACAAGAAAGTCAACCTATATCCCGTGTCTTTTTTGCTTATGTATGTCGATTTGTGTGGTTCTTTTGCTCGTCTAAATTACGCTTTAAACTATCATAACTAGTCATAAATAATGATAACAAGGACTCATCAATTATGCTATGAATTGAGGTCGACCGCCTTTAGGATTCTATCGACCGCAATGCTTTTCGTGCTGCCCAAATTAGTCAATTCGGTCGACCGCCTTTAGAATTAGGTCGACCGAAAAGTCCATGTCACGGTGACATGCATGTCACCATAGCAAAATCCAATAATTTATAGTTTGCATCCCAATATTCAATGGATATTAACAATAATTTGCATACCAATATCCAATGAATATTGCACAACACAATAACCAATAATATTAGTAAAAACTATTCTTTATCCTCTACCTTTTGAAGTATATGGTCATACAGTAGTGTAGTTCGAAAATATGATGGATATTCTATACTATAAGAAACAACATTTTTTCATGTAAAAATAGGATGCTGGTCATACGGGTGACCCACAATCCACCCACCCACATAAGTGCGAGTGAGAGATTTATCAATCTGCAAAAATATGATGTTGGTCATACGGGTGACCCGTAATCCACCCACCCACATAAGTGCGAGTGAGAGATTTATCAATCTGCAATCCACCCACATGAATCACCCACTGTGTGCGGATTGGGTTATTTGCGGGTGAATCGATATCAATCCGCGGATTAACCACCCACGTGCCCACCCCCTAGTTGTCGCAGTCTCGGTCTCCTCCTCCAACCCCCGCCGTCGTCCTCCTCCGTTTGTCACCAGAACTCGAACCTCTGCAGAGCGCTATCGTTTGACGATGTCGACGTGCTATGTGACTCCCCGAAGCTGGGAGTGGTTGGTTCCGAGCTGGATCTGGATGGTTCGGGGCCTAGTGGGTTGCCATCGAGCTGTATGTGGAAGGTGCTCAGGAGGCTGTCGGCGGCTAGGTTGCTGGCTGCGGGCGCTGTGTGTAAGGGGTTGAGAGATCTGCTAAGTGGAGAGCTGCAGAGGAGCTCAGGATTAGCAGAGATTTAATTTGGTTTTATTTATTTTTGTTTATTATTTTAATGTGAAAATATTAAATTAATTTTTTAATTGTCACGTCATACATTTAACGGTTTGATTGCCACATCAGATAAAGTTAACGGAGAGTGACTAAACATGGACCGTTTTACTAATTCGAGTGATCAATATTAATATTAATTTTTTTAAGTGACTAAATATGAGACATTTTATTAAACCTAGTGACCAAACTTGACATTTACCATAAAAAAGGCATTGCTATTCATGGCCCTAAATTTCAAAAACCATCGCACTAAATTAAACGGAAAGTACATATTTGTCCCTAATCAAAATTATCATCGCACTTGCTCTGCTCCGCCCATGGACGTTGCCTGCTTCACCGCTCAAGGACGGAGAAGAAAAGAAAGAATCATGTTCTGCCCCGGCCACCTCTTCATCGGTTATGCCCTGCCCACTGACGCCGCCACCCACCTATGTTGCTCGCGAACTCGAGGAGGAAGAAGGAATCCATGCTGCCCACCTCCTAGGGGTGGGCAACCGGTTCGGTAAACCCGAACCGAACCGAAACCGAAATAAACCGAACCGAAACCAAACTGTTGTTATTCGGTTCGGAATTCGGAAGGCAAAACCCTATACTTCGGAAACCAGGGTGTGCCTAACCGAACCCGAAATTCCGAATTCCGACCGAACAAACCGAAATTCCTCTCCCACTCTCACACATCCCACATTTACAAGCCCACCCTCACACATACAGCCCACAACCCAAGCCCACCCTCACACATACAGCCCACAACCCAAACCCACCCTCACACACATACAGCCCACAACCCAAGCCCACTCTCTGCCACTAAAACCCTAGCCCATTCCAAAATCATCATCATCTTCTTCTTCTTCCAGAACCAGCATCCTGCCCTGCCTCTTTGCCGTCGCCATCTTCTTCTTCTTCTTCTTCTTCGAGAACCACTCAAAACCAACCAAATCAAAAAAGACAAAACCTCAGATTAGCAAACCTAGAACAAATCAGAATCAAACAAAAACAAATGATGAATCGAAGGAGAGTCCGGATCTGTTTTTGCTTCCCGCGGCGGCGCATGTGTCATCGGTGGCCTCTGGTGACCCCGGTGGTGCATGTGTCATCGGTGGCCTCTGCTGACCCCGGCGGTGCATGTCATCGGTGGCCTCTGACAGTGAGTCGGTGAGAGAGAATCAATGAGATTGGGGGTGATTGGGGGAGATTTTTTAATCTTTGTCGAAGGTAGAAAAAGAGATGCATGGTTGAGGTTGGGGGATTCGGGGAGTGGAGACGATGGTCGGGGATAGAGGGAGATGAGACGAATCGATTTGGGGGAGAAGTGAGAACGAAGAGTCGGGGAGGGTTGGTTTTTGTGGGAGCTGGGGCCTGGGAATGACGAAGAGGCAGGGAGGGACGGAGGGTTGGGCTTTGTTGCTCTGCAGCCTCTGCTTATGGGAAAGAGGGAGAAAATGCGGAGAAGAGCAAAAAGAGGAGAGAGAGCGAGGTAATGGGTGAATGACTGAAGGCAAAGAGGGGAAGTCTTCAGCTGCATAAATTCGGTTTTGACAAAAAAACCGAACCGAACCGAGTTATATTTCGGTTCGGGCAAACCGAACCGAAATATAACTCGGTTCGAATTCGGTTGGGACATCTATAATCTCGGAAAATCGGCATATACTAGTTCGGTTCGGTTTGAACCGAGCCGACCGAACGCCCACCCCTACCACCTCCGACACCACAATCTGACCGGCATTGCAATCCTTGAATTGTGATGGGAAGCAGCGGAAGAATTGACCGGCGCTGCACCCCGATCTTCTAATCCGCTCTGCAGAATAATCCTTCCATGGTTGAACCCACGAGAACTCTGCTACCTGCTGGCGTCGAGAACCGAGGGAGGCGAGGTTGCCGTAGCACGGCGGTCGTTGATGACGGGAGTAGGAGGGAAATTGGAATTGCAACGTCAGTGATTTTAATTAATTAGATGAAGAAATAATTTATTGGGGGGGGGGGGGGGGGGGGGATTGGAATTGCAGTGGAAGTGGGTAGGATAGACCAGAGGTGGCCGGCGGCATCAGATCCTTTCCTTTCTTTTTCGTCTTTGATCAGCGACAGTCCTGGTGGCGGCGACGGGGCGGACCCAGCCGTAGAGTAGCCCGCGAGGAATGATTAGGGCGAAACCTTGGTTAGCTATGAATAAGTTAGGGCAAAATCGTCTATTTAGGTAATTTTAGGGCGATTTTTTTTAAAATTAAGTCGTTAAATAGAAATTCAGTAAAAAAAGGGCATGCAATTTATTAGAAGTTTAGAACTGAATGGACTTGATTGATCTTTAAGATTTCAAGCAAATGGGCTTGAACTGGATCTGTCTTAAGCTAGGATGGACATGGACCTATATGGATGTGTCCATCGCTTGACGTAGATAAGGCCCAAACCAATCCCGACATTTACGATCGAAAATTTTGAAGGGAAAAAGGCAAATATTACACCCGAAGGCCGAAGCGAACTAGCGAAGGAAGAAAAGGAGAAGAGGAAAACGGGAGGGTTTCTTCTGCAAACGTCTCTCTTTCCGAACCTTTCATGGATTTCGATTACTCGTAATCTCTGCCATCTCCATAGCAATCCCACAACGTTTCCCGCCCTTCTTCTTATTTTCTGGTCTTCCGGAACTTCACAATCTTCCAAAGACGCTGAGGGCTTAGCCTGAGGGGTTTCATTGAGAAGGAAAGATGGTGAAGACGACGAAGGGAGGCAAAGTTATGAACCCTACGGATGCCTACCGTAAGGAGCTCCGTAAGAAGGAATTGAAACGGGTAAATTTCTCCATTCCCTTGCGCTGTTCTGCTTCTGATTTTGGTATGGTCGTGTTTCAGAGACTCCCAAGTGTTTACTTCCAATCTGAATTGAGCTGAATGCGTTTGGTTGCTGGGAATCGGGTCGGGGAAATTTTGAATTGCTATTTGGCTGTAGTTAATAGCCCTTGATTCGATCAACCCAAGCTCGGAGCTCCCTTATACATAAGTTTAGTTGTTCTGTAGTTTTAACTTAGGGTGTCAGTGCTATGCTGTGCTGCCCACATTGAGTTTGCCATGTGCTGTCATAGCGAAATGGCGACAATGAAGAGAGAAAAAACATTTTTGTATTTAGTGTACTTTAGATTTTGATGAAAGGATAAGAATTGGGGGAATCACTTCTCCTATTGGGGAAAATAAGGTCAGTGTTCTGCAGTATTTGTCGTGAGGCAATTTAACTTGTCTTCGTCTGATTATTGGATGTCGAGGGCCATATGTTTATGCTTGTTTGACTGTAAATCACTTGTCCCTTAGTGTAAGGTTTACTGGAGTGTCATCAATTAGTTTCAATCGTAATATATGGTCATTCTGCTTTTATGGTTCTTTTTTCGATGTTCTTCAATCTTACTCATGGTTTGCTTGAAATCTATGGATCTTATGCACTTCTGGGGTTTGTTAGTTAGCTTCCAACATTTTGCTCCTGTTTTGAGCAGAATAAGAAAGAAAGAAAGAAGGTGAGAGAGGTTGGCATTTTGAAAAAAGATCCCGATGTCATCAAGGATCAGATACATAAGCTGGAAAGCATGAGTAAGTGCTTCTCATTTCATTATATTTTTCTTGCTTCTTTCTTCTGGGTTGTTAGAATTAGAATAATGCCTATTGTCGGAGGAGAATGATGGTTTTCAGTTTATGTTGGTTATTATATTTATATGCAACTATGAATTATCACATGTCTCATTTCGTGAATGATTCAAATTATATATGTCAGAGCATCTGGGCAGCCATTTAACTGAGCTTATACTTGTTGAATATCCACTGAAGCACTGGGGCAATGATAATTCACATAAAATTGAAACTAACCCATTGATTAAAGCTTTAGTTTTGGGATTCTTTTACTAGTTCTGTTTCTTAGACTACATGGATAAACTATGGGTCAGATTAATGTTATGGTTGCTTGGTTGGCAGGTTTCATGACAAAAAAAGTATTTTGGGTTAACTTGGTGTATTATGAACTGAAATTTGGCATTAGGAAGAGTATGGCTTGATTAGATGTGCTCAATGGTGGAACTAGGCTATAATTATTAGAGCTGAGTCTCCTTGATGCACATAATTTCAGCTTCACATGGTTTTCTGTTTTTTTCCTTCTTCTTCTTATGGATGAAACCTTAGAAGGAATATCTCACAATTTGAAATAATCTTTTTTTCTAATTTACCTATGTCTCACCAATAAGGACTTATTTGCATCTGGTGCTCAGTTGGTCCTGTCATCTTTGTCTTCAGTAACTTAAATAATTAAATTGTCATTGACCTTGTTTTGATTTTCGTTCTCTGCTGATTTAGATTCTTCTACTATTATGCAGAGGCTGATGGTGCATTGGACAAAGCAAGAAAGCACAAGAAAAGGCAACTTGAGGATACACTTACTCTTGTAATGAAGAAGAGAAAGGTATTTTCTGCTGTTTCATGTTATCGTTAACCCCATTCACTTGCTTGTCTTCCTATTATCATATTGTCAGCTTAGTGGCAGTATCTCGTCAAGCACTTTCCAGGAAGGGATACCCGTTTATTAACAAGTACATAAAAGTTATAGCAGGCTTTGTAGAACTGATATATTGCTTGCGCAATGTGCTTGCATATGCATCTTTCTTTTTCTTCTAGTTTTGATCTGATTTCTTTATTGGGATACCTGTAAGCCTAAGGCCAAAAGCAAGAGTTATGCTACTTGATTGTATTCCATTTTAAAGATGATCACTATCTGGTGAAGAGTTCCCTTGTGGTTTCTATGAGAATGATTGATATTCCATCTTGAAAATGATCACTGTCTTTTTGCTTCTGGAACTTCTTAACATTTTTCAATAGAAGGTATTCCTGATCATTCCCTTGGAGCCCGTGAGGATCCTGTAATCTGCCTGAGGGAGATGTCGTATAATATAGCTTGCTAACAAAAACAAATAGTTCATATTCTTCAGCATATTACTCTGAGGATGATCTAAGTATTCTTTGATTGTTTTATGGCTTCAGATACTGCCATCAAGTTTATTTGTAGGGAACTGGTATGCTATCTATCCCTCACAAAGTCTTATGGAATGAACGATCCTGAAATCTGAAATGTAGGGCTGTTAACCTAGAATAAAATTTAAGCTTTATATAATGATTTTAAAATATATGATACTTTCATGAGCTACTACACTTGGGCGTTAAGCAATTTTTTCCTTCATCTTTAGGAATATAACGACAAAATGAAGGAGAAGGGCGAGACTCCTGTTATGTTCAGGTAAAGTAGCCTTTCTTTCCCTTGGTCCTTGTTTGGCACTTGAAAGTACATATTTTTTGTCCTTCATCTGATAGTGAGAGTACATCTTTTCTTCAGTCATTTGGGACCTCCTCGACGGAGAACGTCTGCAGAAGAGGAAGAGAGAGCTAAGCACCCGCAGCCTGAGGTATACTTTTACAACTTTGCTTCTTATATAGTTTGTATAGTTGAGTACTTTCTTTTTAATATCAGCTATAGTACTTCGTTTGATATCAGCTATTCATATGATTGCAGGACTCTGTGTACTACCATCCTACCTTAAATCCCACCGGGGCTCCACCACCTGGAAAACCTCCCATGTACAAATCATCTATAGGTTTCTTTCCACTCGTTGCTTTTTCCCAATAATTTATATGACATCTCTGTCTTGTTTGCCTCACTCTTTCAGATTATAACTCTGCAGGTCCTCGGATTCCGTTGTCTGCTGGGTCAACCTCTGGTGCATCATCTTCAAAGACAGAGTCAGAGGATGGTGCTGTGGGAGTACCACCACTTCCATTGCCTCCGCCTCCTCCATTGCCAGAATCGGCTGATATGGATATAGGGGATGGTTCTCTGGTATCTACCACATCTATGCCTCTAGCGCCGCCTCCTCCACAACCTCCTGCACCAAGCATGGGTATGTCATTGCCTCCTCTACCTTTGCCACCACCACCTCCTGGTCCACCCCCGACAGAAGACCAAGTTACAAGTTTTGCATCATTTCAACCGCCCCCTCCTGGCACCAATAATGAAAATGAGAAAGATTCATCCACATTGGCAGGTGACTCTTCATCAAGGGAGACTGTTTCGGTGAGTGAGTCTCCTTTTACTTTCGTGTTGACCATAGACCAAAAGCGAATGGTGGAAGTGGGTATCTGCGTTAAAAGAAAATGTATCTAAAGGAGTGAATGATTAAGTGGTCCCATTATTTTTTTACTTCTTCTGATGCATGAAATTATATCAAAATATGCGAGTTGTGTAAAATGTCTGAACTTTTGGAGTTCGATAGTAGAGAAATGTAGAGTTAGAAATGTAGAAAAGATAACCTAAATTTGGTCCATTTTGATTGTAAAGGAAAATTTTAGAAGTTAAATGGTATGTTTGATATAGGAGTTGATTATTTGATCAATCTGAGGAGGCCATACAAGTGCAAACTGGTTGAAGACCGAGCTCAGCAAAATGGAATATCCTTGAGATCTGGAGTTAAATTGGCAGGAAGATTGCTGGAACTGGAGAACATATTGTTCCATGCTTCAGGATTATCATTTCCATCTGTCAATGTTTTCTTTAAGTAACTGCTGGTCCTTGGTACTAATCCGTGAACTTTGATATGCCGTGTATTCTGGACCTCTTGTGCTTTAGGTTCTTATAGAGTGTTTTAATTGGTTTACTTGAAATAGTGAAGACATTGTAATATTGTTCTCTTCTGTCTTGATTCAGGTGCCCATTCTCCAGCCTCCACCTCCACCTCCACCTGGAATGCCTATGAAGTTGACCAGCAATCAGTTTGAAGTCGATAATTCATCTGAATCTGATCCCGGTATTCCGCCATCAGCCATGGATGGCACAAAAATGGTTCCTCCTCCGCCTCCACCTAGGCAACAGCCCCTACTGCCTGGACCACCACCCATGATCCAAAGCATGCAGCCTGATTTACTACCACCTTCAATGGGAAGATTCCCACCACCTCCGCCTCCCCCTCCACCAGGTATGCGGCCACATCTAGCAGTTCCTGGGCTTTCTGGCCCTCCAGTAGGGATGGTCCCAATGATTCCAAGACCACCGTATGGTCCTCCACCTGGACCTCCCCCAATGATGAGGCCACCACTGCCTCCAGGCCCTCCTCCTGGTATGATGGTAGAACACGACATAGGTAGTAGGTTTGTTGCTCCCCAAAAACCATCTTATGTCAAATCTGCTGCATCTACTGTTGTGAAAAGGCCGCTGGCACAGCACACCCCGGAACTTACAGCCATGGTTAGTTCCGATCCAATCCCTCAAGAGCTAATGTCTGCGTTAATTAGAATCTTCCTGGCACATTTAAACTCACTTGTTTTTGTTTGCATTCAGGTTCCTGCATCGGTGAGAGTCAGGAGAGAAACAGCTGCAGGCGCAAAACCGAAGCCAAAGGCGATGCCCTCAGCTGTTACAATGTCGACGAGGCCTGTGGTTTCTGCTGTATTTAAGCCTGAACCACCTTCGTCATCAGCAGCTGTTGGGCCTAAAGGCAAGAGCGTTGATGACTCGTACTCGGCCTTTTTGGAAGACATGAAGGCACTTGGCGCACTTGATAGTTGATCCAATCACACAGCCTAAAGAGAGATCGACTTGCTGTGAACTGGAACTGTTGCACTCCTCTGACTGTGTAGGGAGACGGTTGAAGGTCCTGACGAGCAAAAAGGCTTGTGCACTTCGGACTGACGGACTCGGGAACCTTTCTATTCTACCGTCATGGTAGATGCTTTGGTTCTAGCGATCTAATATGATTGAGCCATGTTCCGTTGTAGGTTGAGACGGGTAGACCGGCTTAAAGCGATTCTTTCCTGGGTTCTTTCAATTGACTTGACTCTTGACAGTTGGGCATATGTATATTTAACCGTGACCAAAAGGTGTAAGCCATGATTTTTATCCTGGAAGTTACTGATTTGGATACTTCTCCGTTTCCGTAATGGTTTGTTCGTCTTTATTTAGGAACTAGCCTATAGCCCGGCCCGTTGGCCGCATTTGTTTAAGGAAATGGAGTTACAATATCTATAATGATAGTGTCGAGAAATGAGTCTTGTTTTATATTATCATAAGATTGTTGCAATTTTGCAATTCGTTGAAGACGAACATGTAATATGAATGAACATTCATAATAAGTTAGAAATACATTTGAAGATTAGCTAATCACAATAAAAATACTTACATGAAATTTTACTAATCACAAATCTAATATAGTTGAGTATTACAACAAATAACATGCAAGTCCAAAATAAGAAAACTCAATACATTGTCTCATTGTTCATGACATGGTACTCAATTCAACAAAGGCAAAAATAATTTCGCCAACACAAGTTCACAATAACCAAATGCATCGTTCCAGGGACCGACTGTGACCATGACTTCAAATGTCTGTTCTCCAAGCATGTTTAGAAGGGCCATATAGGCAGCATTGACAATATCTGCATGACTGAATACAGATTCAACAATCGTTCGTAACTGTGATGACGGGAAGACGATGTCAACACCAATGAATTCGTCCTCAATTGTGAGGTGGACGAAATGGATTCTGGATGCAGGGGACCAGGACGTCGTCAAATTCGTTACACGTCCGGATAACAAAAAAGAGGTGCCCTGATGTAAACACAGAAACGAATATTGTCAAAGCAAATCGATAAAATGCAGCATGCCACAAAAGGAGTACGATTAAAAAGAAATTTATTTGTTTAGTTACCTGATTTTCGACATCCACTTGCAACATAATGAGATCGATGGTGTCGGCACGCTCACAAATTTCAAGAGCATCATCATATTGCAGATTAGCAATAAAACCATGGGGAAGCCTATATATTGGACTGTAAGTTTTGGCATTAAGTAGTGAAAAAGAATCGAAATTACATGATGTAGTATTTGTTGGATGCATGAGCAGTACTTACTGATTGAATTGAGGCAGGCCCGCCATATTGAATGCAATTCGCACGGTCAATGGAACCGAAGTGTTTTGTATGGGAAGTAGTAAACGGAAATTGTAACATGAGAGAAAGTGGTATCTCCATTATATAAAGGAGAGAAAGTGATTCTACACACGTGATTTACTTGGCCGCATGCAGTGGAGTACGTGTGTGTGTGTGGAAAGTGGGATAGTGGGGGAGTGGAGAAGGATTTGTGGCCTCGTGGGGGAGTGGAGAAGGTTGGCCATTTAGAGTTCAAGAGGCGGGTGTGTCACGGAACTCACGACCCACCTTTTTTTTTTTTTTTTTGAGGGGAACGACCCACCTTCTTAAAATCAAACATGCGCCTTTCTTTTATTTTGTTGCAATTAAAAATTCAAAAACAAAAGAAGGTAAGTACAGAATAAAATATAAAGAGAAGAAAAATCAGTTCACTTTTCCCAAAAAAGACCTAGCAGCCGCCCAAATTATGCTTTTTCAGTTTTAATAATTCTCACTTTATTCTTTTATCTCTAATAAGTGAAACAATAATTGTAAAAAAAAAAATAATTGTTAAGTCTACCAAGTAAGTCAACACCGGTTTATGATCGGTTTCTAATATCGATTAACCACCGGTTATTGATAAACCTTGAACCCTTTACTAATCCGGATCGATGTCCGGTTCCATTTTAACAACATTGCTAATTGCGACTGTGTCAACAATTCTTGTCCAAAATTGCCTCTCAAAGTTGCTAATTATTATTTGATGCGCCAACCCGGCCTGGCCCACACCACCACTAATTAACATGAAATGAAAATCATAATGAATGTATTTAATAAAGAAATAATGGCTTGGAATGCGGCAGCCTTCACCTCATAGAAGATCCAAAAAAATCGGATACTGGGCAGTAGAGGAGGTGGGGGAGTGGGGGAGTGGAGAAGGATCCGCCCAAGGTAGTGTAGGTTGGCCTTTTTTTTATGGGAATAGGTTGGCCATTTAGTTTCAACAAATCCGGCTGGGCATTCCCTCTCTAACTATATTTTATTTAACTGAACAATGCTTGGGTTGTTTTGTGGGCTGGGTTGTGGTGTTAATTTAGTTTAGTTGCGACTATGGAAGTTCTTCTTCGTATTGCAATATAACGGTCACACTCACATACCCTTCGGTAGAGTAAATTGAGGTACAATTAAATATAAAGTAGTGTGCATAAATCACATTTCATATAATTGGCTGTTAAAAACAGGAAAATAATTTGGACAAATTGAGAACTCAAGATTCAAATTGTAACGACCCGATAAATTTGACAGTCTTAGTCCTCAAATCGAATAAAACATAATACATCAATAAACCACTACTCAAAAATCTCAGTGAACACAATGTTCTGCATAGTCTTCACCGGTTTACCTTGAGAGTCACAGCTAAGAATCTTGAGTCCCCTTTCCGACGTAACTCGAGACATAGCAACATACAACTGTCCATGAGAAAATACTTGTCTTTGCAAGCAGATGCCAACGTGATTTAATGTTTGACCTTGACTCTTGTTAATTGCCATTGCATATGACAGTGCAATTGGATATTGCCTTCGAACCAGAGTGAAATTTAAGCTCTAGTAGTGGACCGATAGACTTAGGCGTGGTAAGAAAACTGTATCACCAACATGTGTCCCGGTCAAAATTTGGACCTCAATAAACCACTTACCTAATCTCTTAACGATCATCCGAGTTCCATTGCAAAGCCCAGTACTCTGATCCAGATTTCGAAGCAGAATAACAGGGCACCCCAACTTCAATTTCAACTCATGTTCCGGAAAATTCCCAATCTTTAAAGAGTTCAAGAATTCAACTGTGTAGTCCCCTTCTTCAACATGCTGATTCTTGGCATCAATCTCTAGGGAATCCGAACTAAAATAAGAAACTTCTTCACCAGGAAATAGACCCAATACATAATTGTTAATGGCCGCAACAGTGTCATTATGAGGGGCTAAGATAGCTCGCTCAACCAAATAGGTTGACATATTTTCAGTGGAGAGTAACTGACCATATATTTCAGCAACAATATCAGGAATTGGATCACTGCGACGGGGAACACAAATGTGTAGAGGTATCGGGATAATTGATTCTCCAAAAATATTACTATTTGTACCATCACCAATTTCCAAAAGCCATTTGCTAAAATTTGAGATTGCTAACCTGGCCGATGCTTCAGAATGAGGCAATTTTAATCGCATGTTCTCGGTTAGCTTCAATACTGTCATAGACCGCCACAAATAAGATCTCTTTATGGAAGAATTAACAATTTCAGTCCGTGTACCCTTCGTGATGATAGGTAACGTCTGTCGGAAATCACCTCCAAACACAATAGTCATACCTCCAAAAGGCTTCAACTCAGAATCAACATGCTTAACTCGGAAAATATCCCTCAATGTCCTATCTAGGGCCTCTATGTTGTGTTTATGAGCCATCGGTGCCTCATCCCAGATAATAAGTGAAGCATTGAGAATCAATTCAGCTACCTCAGAACCTTGCTCAATATTACAAGTTGATTTTGTATCACAATCCAGGGGAATGTGAAATCTTGAGTGTGCAGTTCTTCCACCGACCATGAGCAGTGCAGCAATACCAGATGAAGCAACACATAATACTATCCTCTTCTCAAATCTTAATTGCTCACAAATTGCTCGCCACAGAAATGTCTTACCAGTACCCCCAAATCCATCCACAAAAAAGCATTTACCCTCATTGGTATAAACAGAATGTAATACCATATCGTAAGCGATTTGTTGTTCTCCATTCAACGGTCTACTATGTCGATCCTTAGAACAGTCTAAGTCATCGGGTCCATAATTCATCTCCATATCTATCAGCCTGTTTACCGTATGTGAACGCAAACACTGATCGGGAACATGCGACCCAGGGAAATCTGCTAATGACTTCGAAAATCTCTCCATCAATTTGTCAATATGAATAAGGCACAACTCCTTAATTTCATCCTCCGACAAATTCAACTGGGGTAAATTCAGCTCTCTACGTCGTGAATGCAAAATGCCTTCACTTAGTAATTCCCAATTCTTTAACCAAAAAGAAGTCACATCAGCCACCTGACAATGAATAAGAATTGTGACAAAAAGTTTTCTAAGTATATAACCAGAAGCCCAGTGCGAAGCTTCTTGGACACAATCATTCCATTCAGAATCTCCTGATAACAGTCCCCAAGCATAACATGCTTTTTGGAATGTTTCATATACCACCCCATTCACTGTTCTAATATCATCATAAGAACAACAACCCCTAACAACATGCAATAGCATTCGCAAATAGTATCGCTCCTTTGCGGATGGGTAGCAGTAATATAATCTAGCAATGCAGGTACCTTTTTTGCGCTGCTGCCACTTCTTGTATTTTTTATTCCATACATAATATTGTGGCATCTCCGCAAAGGTATATTTCCGTGCATCCATTGACTGAAGATTGAGATCCATCCATGCTAACAACATTGAGGTTTGGGAACTGCTAGACTCAACCGCTTCCTCCACGTTAGAATCAACATTTGAATACACTGTATTCTCACCAGGCAAATGACAGGACATACGCAGTACTGTTGGAGAGTGAGTGTATATATCAAACCTAAAAATTCTCCAACATGCTTCTCCCGATGTGATGTAACGG